CGTCGGCATCGATGAGCTAGAGGAATTCTGGCGCGGGGTGGAGCTTGTTGGCCGACCCGACCAAAAGAGACAATGTGGCACATTTGGGTCGGTTTTGCTAAGATTTGAGAATTATTTGACAATTCGTTTGAGACACCATTTTTTTGGCACCTGTACAGGATTATGCCGCTTCTGCTTGTGAAATTCTCAGGTCCGTGGGTGCAGTACTACTGTCAAAACACTTGGAGTAACGACTGTGTTTCGAGACATCTTGACACGCGTTCACGGTTTTCTGTACTTAACTCAAGATTTCGGACAGCTACAGAGCTGATACTTACAGAAACCAATTCACAATACGAGGCGCGTGCGTCTGTTGCATGGAAAGGCCTGAAATCGTTCTGCTACTCGAGCTAGGTCCAGAACACTATTTTTTAGAGGCGCGGTCGGTATTCTGCTTAATCCCAGCTGTAGCGCAGCTACAGAGCTGGTGCGCACAGAAACCGATACAAAATCACCGAGGGCATTTTGCTGAAGCATCTAGAGCTCTGAACAGATTCTGCTCCTCGAGCTAAGTCCGCAAAACTATTTGTATGCAAGTGATTATTTGAGTTTTCTGGCTCTCGCTTCAGCTTGCTTCACGCGTTCCGAGGAGCTGGGCAAGAAAAGAGCTCTACGAGGTCCCCGGCGGTAACCAGGTTGACGGTTTACCGCCGGCGACCAGTACCTCGTAGAGCTCTTCGGCATCGATGAGTTAGAGGAATTCCAGCGCGGGTGGAGCTAGTTGCCGACCAAAAGAGACAATGAGGCACATTTGGGTCGGTTTTCCGAAGATTTGAAAGATATTCGACAATACCTCGTAGAGCTTCGGCATCGATGAGCTAGAGAAATTCCAGCGCCGGTGAAGCTAGTTGGCCGACCCGACCAAAAGAGACAATGAGGCACATTTGGGTCGGTTTTCCTAAGATTTGAAAGATTTCTGACAAATTACTTTAAGAAAGCAGACTTTTCGCACCTGTAGTGGGTTATGCCGCGTCTGCCAATCAAATTCCCAGGTCTGCAGGTGCAGTATTACTATCAAAACACTTGGAGCAACCGTCTTTGGATTAAAAAAAAACCTAAAAACATGTTTTTTCGAGTTTTTGGGGTCTTGCTCCAGACTCTTCTTTCATGTTTACCGAGGAGCGCCGTGCGAGAACAGAACTCGACGAGGGCCCCGGCGGTAACCTGGTTGACGGTTTACCGCCGGTTCCCAGTTGATTTTAAGAAAGCAGAGTTTTCGCACCTGTAGTGGGTTATGCCGCGTCTGCCAGTCAAATTCTCAGGTCCGCAGGTGCAGTATTACTACCAAAACACTTGGAGCAACCGTCTTTAGATAAAAAACAGAAAAACATGTTTTTTCGAGTTTTTTGGGTCTTGCTCCAGACTCTTCCTTCATGTTTACCGAGGAGCGCCGTGCGAGAACAGAGCTCGACGAGGGCCCCGGCGGTAACCTGGTTGACGGTTTACCGCCGGTTCCCAGTAAGATGCTTGTACGAAGCCGATCGAGAAGGGAGGTCGCAGGACCTTGTCACGTGTGTGTGTGTGTGTGTGTGTTTGTTTGTCTTTGTGTTTGTGTTTGTGTTTGCGTTTGTGTGTTTGGTGCTGGCTAATCATATGAGCACTAGTGTGCAGCCCGCGCTTCAACTCCTGGTGTCGACTACGCTACGCGGTGTGCTTGGCCGCTGCACTTTGGCCCTGCGACGCCTCTCAGTTCCACCGCCTGCACGTGCTTGTGTGGTTTCTTCGATGCTTTCATTACGGCGCGTTCGACTACGTTCGTCCGCGATCGGCTCTCCCATCTGCTGACCGCGCCTGAGGTTCCTGAACGCTGCCGACTTGAAAAGTGTGTGTTTGTGTGTGTGTGTGTGTTTGCTTGTGTGTATGCCTCAGTGTGTGTGTGTGTGATCAGGCGGTTATATTATTTTATGTATAAATCTATACATCTATGTGCAGCATGTGTGTATGTAATTTTTTTATGTATATGGAACAACAAGTTTCCACGCTGGGGCGCTGCGCGTGGGGCCGCGACGCCAAACAAATGTGCCTGCATGCGGAACGGGCCGCATGGGGACGGGGCCTTCGGCCGAGTTCCGTACGGGGCCACGAAGCGTTTGAGAGGTGTGCCGTCATGGACATGCGGTGGGTGGGGGCCGCATGTGGACCTTGTCGGACGGGTCCGTCGGTTGAGCTCCCTATGGGGTCACGAAGCATCTGAGGGGTGTGCCGAAATTGACGTGCAATGGTGGGGGGTCACATGTGTGCCGAAATTGACATGCAGTGGGTGGGGGGCCGCATGTGGACCCTGTCACCGGGGCTTTTGGTGGAACTCCCCATGGGGCGTCGATGCGTGTCAGGGGTTTGCCGAATTGGACGCGCGGTGGGCGGGGCACCGCATGTAAATCCTGCCACTTGGGCCTTCGGTGGGATTCCCCATGGGGCCACGATGCGTGTCAGGGGTTTGCCGAAGTGGACGCGCGGTGGGCGGGGCACCGCATGGAACCCCGCCACTTTTGCTTTAGGTGGAGCTTCATTTGGGACCATGCAGCGTGTGAGGTGTGCTTTGATACTGATATGCTGTGGGCGGGGAACCGCATGTGGTCTTTGTCGGAAGGGGCCGTCGGTGGAACTCCTTTTATGGACTCGCGAAGCAAGTGACGGACGTGCCGATCTTGACATGCGGTGGGTGGGTGTCCACATGTGGGCCCTGCCACCGGGGTTTTCGGTGCAGGTCCATGTGGGGCCAGGATACGTGTCAGGCGCTTGCCGAGGCTACATGTGGACCCACCGGGGATTTCGGTGGAGCCACGGAGCGTGTGAGAAGTGTTTGTGTGTTTGTGTGTGTGTGTGTGTGTGATTTTGTTGTTGTTGTTTAAATTGTATGTGTGTGTGTGTGTGTGTGTGTGAATGTGTGTCCCGGATTGGACATCCTGGCGGGCGGTTAACCGCATGTTGATCCTGTCATTGGGATTTTCGGTGGAGCTCCCTATGGCCACGAAGCGTGTGATGGGCTTGTTGGCATGGACATGTGATGGGCGGTGAACCGCCTATTGACCCTGCCATTGGGTTTTTTTTGTTGAGCTCCCTATGGGCCCGCGAAGCAAGTGAGGGGCGTGGCGAAATGCACATGCGGTGGGTTGGGAGCCGCATGTGGACCCTGCCAACGGGGCCGGGCCTTCGGTGGAGTTCCTTATGGGGCTGTGAAGCGTGTGAGGGGTGTGCCGAAATAGAGACATGCGGAGGGCAAAGGCAAGGGATGGGAGGTAAATGGCGATGAAGATGACGATGATGATGGTGATGATGCTGCTGCTGCTGATGATACCGCTGCTGCTGATGGATGATGATGAGGATGGGGTGCTTGCGGTGGTTACGATTATAATAATGAGGGCTATGCTGAGGATGATGATGCTGATGCTGGTGACGCTGATGCTGATGCTGATGATGATGGAAATGACGATGTTGATGATGATGATGATGAGGATGAGGATGAGGATGAGGATGAGGATGATGGTGGTGATGATGATGATGATGATGATGATGATGATGATGATGAGGATGGTGGTGGTGATGCTGGTGGTGTTGATGCTTATGACGAAAATGACGGTTCTGGTTATGATAATGATGAAGAAGAGGAAACATCGGAGGATGATGATGATGATGATGAGGAGGAGGAGGAGGAGGAGGAGGGGGATGCATGGGAAAGAGAGGGGGCGCGGGACGTTGTCTCTTCAAAAGGAGGACCCAAGACTACGGATGGTTGAGACAAAGAAACATCCACCTACCTACATCGATCGTTGCCAGGCTGGCCCTTGGCCCTGGACTGGTGCCTACGAATTTGTGACGAAGCCAGGAGGGCGTACACACCGGTTTCGGGTCCAGGATGGGCCTGGCCAGGATCGGTGCAGGTGTACAGTTGGCGCCCTTCTGCGAAAATGATGAATCGGGTCTCCGTGGAGCCAGCCGCAGTTCCGCAACGCCACTTCGCCGGGTCCAATCTGCAACCGTCAAAGCTGGATGGGGCCGTCCGCGGCCATCGGGGTTCCCGCGGCACCGGGCGAAGCGCTGCTTTGGGGACTGGCTGGTGTCAGTCGCGGACAGCAGGATTCCCGCAACACGTCGTAACCACTTTGTGAAAGCCTTTTCGGGGATGTTCACGCGCTCAGGTGCGGGGCTTGGCCACGGTTCGATTAATCGATGGTTCGACTGCGATTCTTATTCGAGTGACGTCCTCATGTGACCAGGCGCGTATTCGGACAGACACGTTTGCCGCTGTGGGCATCGCAGTTTTCAGTTTGTAAACCTGCCGATGTCTTAGGCTTGTGCTAGACACGCCCGTATGCCTTTTCGCAACCAGGTTGAGGAGAGTATAGGAGGAGAGCTTATGCAGGTCCTGTGCCAATCTGGAAAGCAACACCTGGCAATACCAAACATTTTTCCATGATCGGACAAATCAGAGCGCGTTTCTTGTGTGCACTATCTTCTAGCCGTCTCGTACAACATGCCCTGGAACAGCCTCGGGCATCACCAGCCGTTCTGTGGACTCCAGAAGGTCGGAGCCAGAATGTGACAGCCGTAGCCCCCGTCAGAGGCAGCTGGGCACGCGTCACTGTTCTGTTTAGAGGCGCCTTTCGTTTCCCTTCCACGCACCGGTGCCAATTTGCCCTCGCGTAGCCCGCGCTGGCCCGACCGACTCGCACGATCGCCGATTCCGCGATAAAAAAGTATGTGTTCGTCTTTCGACTTGCAATTTCCCGGGGTTAGCACGCAGGGCTCTGCAGTCCCAGCGGATTGTTCGAGCCACCTTGGGGGCCAGAGGGGGGTGATGACTAGGGGGGGTGGATATCCTGGCCGGAGCCATGTCATCTCCCCGTATTCCCCTCTTCTCTTTTCCACACGTCCCGTGGTCCCCACCTCGTCCAAGCACATGCCTCTGGCCATGCTTTGCGAACCCGGCATTGCCGACCCTGTTCCGTGCGCGGTCGGCATCTCGGCTCAAGGTCGCGTTCGCTGCTGCTCGAGGGCCGCGCAGGTAGACGGACAGGCAAGGCCAGCCGCCGCTCCGTTTCTGCTCGCAAGGAGTGCGTGTGCTCCGTCGTTCTGAGCATCGTGAGGGCCCTCTTGGGCCGCACTTCTCCGGCTGCCACAGACTTCCTACTGTCCTCTTCAAGAAGTGTGCTTGCTCCGTAGTTCTGCTTCTTCGGAGGGGGCGTTCCGACCTGGGGTTTGTTCTGACCACGATTCGATGCGAAATTAGCCGTGCTGGCGAGGAGTGGGTAGCTGTGTTGGTAACTTGGCAACTGTTCCTCGCCTGAGTTCTGCTCAATTTTCATTCTCGAGTGGATTTTCGTTCTTTTACCGGTTGTCCTGTAAGACGTTGTCCTGGGGACGAGGGAGGCATCGGAGGAGTTGGCGAAGGGGGTTGATGTATGAGGACGGTGATCCAAAGGATGAAGATGAGGAAAGGGATGGGGGGGAGGAGGCGGGGGAGAGGGATGTAGGAGGGGGAGGAGGGGGAGGAGGGGGAGGAGGAGGAGGAGGAGGAGGAGGAGGATGAGGAGGAGGAGGAGGATGAGGAGGAGGAGGATGAGGAGGAGTAGGAGGAGGAGGAGGAGGTGGAGGAGGAGGAGGACAAGAAGGAGAAGAGGGAGCAGGAGGAGGAGAAGGAGGAGGAGGAGGAGAAGGAGGTGGATGGAGGAGGAGGATGAGGAGGAAGAGCAGGAGAGGGGGAGGATGGTTTGTGGTAAGAGGAGCGGCGGGGGGAGTGAAACTGGAATATGATCGGGATGATGACGGGAATAACACCCATGATGATG